TTCTTTAATATGATGTGCTAATCTCAGGCAGTGCTGGTCTAATTTGAAAAATCCTCTTTGTATTGGATAGCCCATTTATCGAAGAAGGCTGCGATCAATAGGCGCCGAGCCGAGCGGGTGAAACCGCACGGAACTAATTAGTTCCAATAAGAGTGATAAGCAGTCTAAGCAGATGAAAATTAAAACTTGTGAGGATCAGGTTATGCTTAGCAGTGAAACATCAAAGACTTTGCCATTACAATCTTACATGTTTATATTACCTTAAAAATATATACCCTATTTAACATTAACACCTTTTAATGTTGGTGCTACTATAACTCCCTTTCCAGGGACAAATAAAGGAGTTCCTTTATAGCATGCAACTTTGTCATCATTTGTTAAGAGGTCAGGAGCACAGGTTTCAAATATTTTTTTCTTAGGATTAAGTACAGCTTCTGGCTCTCGAGGGTAACCTTCACACTCCACTAAATCACCAGGTACAGCTCCCTGGGGTGGCATGAGAATTTCAACCTTTTCAGGGGATGATGCACACATCACCATTGCTTCTGAGGTAATTCCCCTCATCTGAAAAAAAAAGTATCGAAATTAATTTTTATTTAATTAAAAGTATTTACATTGTATGTCAATTTATCATAGTAATTTATTACAAGTATATTTCCTCACCTTTACTGGTTTTAAATTTGCTAGTATCATAACAATTCTATCACGCATTTCATCTATTGGTACATGATTTACAAGACCAGAGACAACAGTGCGGGGTTTATCCTCTCCACAGTCAATCTTCTCTACATACAAAGTGTCGGCATCAGGATGTTTGTTCACATCAATAATTTTTCCAATTCTGAAATCTAACTTCCTGACATCTACAATGGAATCACCAGTAGGCTCTGATTTTTCTTTGGGTTTTTTTACAGCTTCCTTTGCCTTCTTCGGAGCAGGCTGTTTTTCAGATTGAACTGGTGCATCCTCGGTTTTAACATTTTCAACAGGTGCTACTGACTGCTTGCCTGGTATGGCGTATTGCTTCTTACCATTCAATGTTTCCAATCTTATCAAATTGGCTTTAGCAGCTTCTACTTTAGCAGCTAAACCTTTATTCTCCTCTGTAAGTGCCTGTATTTTTTCTTCAATCTTGATTTTTTTAACTTCATCTAGCTAAAATAAAAAAAAACATTAAAAAAAGTTAGGTACCTGTTGTTCTCTAATAAGATTTTACGAAAAGTAATTTCAATGAATCAAAATTGAAAGGTTGTTGACTTAATACCTTTGTCCTTAATTGTGCCAGTTTCTTTTCAGCTATTTCAGCATTATTTAGAATTCTATTACCAATGCTTTGAGACATAGTTCTTTTTAATAACGTACACGCAATCATAAGTTTATTTTTATAACCTAGTTTTTTAGGTAAGGTTAGATAGTCAAACGTTCTACCACTCAGTGTTACCAACTCTTGAAAACATTTGTACTGAACAAGACAATTTTGAAGGCCCAACTCAAGACATTCTTATTTAATTTGAAACTGAATTTTACTCAAGCATCATGACCCTTGGGTCAGACGCCTGACCCAAGCTTACTGAGTAAAATGTAGCGTTTAAACAAGTAAAAACAGTAGTGAGTTTAAAACAGTTCATTTAACTTCATTTCCATCTTTCCCCTTACCTCAGTTGCCTTTCCTCCAAATGGGAGGAACGTGGCATCTTCCCCCGAATTTGTAATTGGGAGAAAATAGGAAGTTAAAATTTTTAGTTCAAAACTGTCAAACACCAAGCGGTCACCGGTGACGGTACTCGACGAGTTAAGTTCATTTAATTAAACTACACGTGTCGATTGTGGTCAGAATTAAAGGACAACGTTAAAAAAGGCGGACATAATATTATTATAACTTAGAAATGATAGCACCAAAATGTCAGTGGTTTTTATGTGTGTGTAATAGGATACCACGTTACTAGCTTAAGCCTTTTACTGCCGACAAAAACTGTTAAAGGCTAATCCTCCGCTAGCGTCGGACATCATTGTTTGACACGGCATCAAATGTGTTAAGAAAATTACAGATAGCATCCGTCGTGTCAATATGTGTGCAAGTTCTGCATGTAATTGTAAGCCTATAGTAACTTGGTGCCACAGTCGTTGTGTCAAGAGACTGTGCCCGCCTCTTTTTCAATGTCCTTGGTCCGAATGAAATACTTGAACCTCTCCTTATGCAGAGAAATAGACTTTAATGCAATATCAATAACTCAATACCTCTGGAAGACTACCGGGCAAGGGATTTCGATTACTGGGTTTTTTCAAAAATCTCAATATTAGCAAGGAGCCTGGAAATGTGCCCGGTATATGGCAATTGGCTGACTTACATGGGACTCATAACATAAAATAGTGAAAAGTGTGTCGTACACAAAACAATTTTTTACCCCAATTTTGGGAGAAAATCAAACGGTGGCCTTACTATTGACAGCACTTCAATGACTTAAATACTGACTGAGTGATGATGATTACACTAGCTGTCATATTTTTGACAATTCCACAAGCTGTGGAGTGGCGGAAGTATTTTTTTATGCAGGAGAGGGTATCAGGTGATTCAGATATCAATATGTTTCTAACCTGATCTTAGGCTCACAATCAGATATTAAAGAAATCAATCAGTGACGCTGACATTACAATAAAGGCTACTTTTCTATTGTAACAGTACTGCAATTTAACTAACCACCTACAAAAGAAACGTTGTAGTTGTAATAGAAGACAAGAAAAAAATGACTAAAAAAAGAAAACCTAGGTAAGATACAGTTCTACCTAATACGCATGAAAAAAAGTAATATCTAAACGTATGGAAGAACTTAATATCTGTACGATAGTACCCACGATAGTACCTATGCAGGTAATAATTAATTAAGACCCAAAAGTTGTCACGACAACTGAAGTGCAACTACTGAAACAACTGGTCACGAAATTGTTCATTTGTTTTGTTGTTGACGTTCTTAACAACCATACATTGAAACTACAAGAGCTCTGTTCTGGATTATAATTGAACTGTTATTTAATCATTATTACCGATCTTATTTTTCTGTATGGATTTGCAGCAATTCGTTTTCTTGTAGGTACCTATTTAGATCAGTTCTACTTTTTTATTTTACCGTCAACAAGTGCAATAAAACTTTGTTAATAGAAATGTAGAAATGTTTTGTTAAAAGAACTTTTAAAACAAAATTGTAATTGAACTGGTAGGTAAGAACAAAGTGAAAAAAATTATGTATGAATTTAAATTTAAATTTTTCTTCACATGGTAGAAGATGTATTATTACTTATTAGACTGTTCTATAATATAGGTCAAAGAGTGGAAAATATAGGTATCACTTTTCGTTTGTTTTGTTGACGTTTGGTGAGTGAGGGTATTTTTATTTATTAATTTTGTATAGACAGTACAATATATAGGAAAAAATGTTCATGAAATTAATTTTATTGTAAAAAAACTATTTTTTTTACAACAAATAATAAAATTATGAAACTTATAGAAAATATTTTAATTTTAATTTACATACTGCCAGATAGTATGTTGCCATTACTTTTTTTTTTTCTTCGTCGAAAATAAAAAAAAAAACAAAAAGAACAAAGATGGCCGTTGGAAGCGCGTCATAAATACGCACTGACGTTGTTTATATTTTGTGCAAATAAATCTAATTTATTAATTGTAATATTGTGATTTGTTGTGAGTGTGGATTATAATGTAAATTGGTTGTTTTATGCACTAAGAGTTGGAATAATATAATGTATTAAAATCTACATACGGAACGATGTCAAACAACACTGTCGGCTCATCCGGGCCAGCTCCCGGCAAAATACGTGGACCTGGAAGACCTCCAAAACGTACATGCACTTGGTGTGCTGAAAGTAAAACACCACTAAAATATGTCCTGCCAACCGAAAACGGTAAAAAAGAATTTTGTTCAGAAACGTGTTTGTCTGAATTCAGACAGGCATACAGCAAAGGCGCCTGTCTTCATTGTGATAATGTTATTCGTGGTAATGCACCTTCAAGTAGTAAGAATTTTTGTTCCACATATTGTTTAAACAAGTATCAAAAGAAAAACGAGAAACGTACTTCATCACCACAATCGGGTAATGGGGCTAATGGAACAGAAAATCATGCGAATAATAATTCTACAGGTTCCTTTTATGACATTTACCAAGCTTTTGACTGGAATGAATATATGAAAGACACTAATAGTGTAGCAGCCTCTCAAGAATGTTTTAAACAGGCTCCAATGCCCCCTGTAAATGACTTCAAAGTTGGAATGAAATTAGAAGCATTAGACCCACGTAATTTGACATCAACATGTATTGCGACCGTTGTTGGGGTGCTAGGTCCTCGACTAAGACTGAGGCTTGACGGAAGTGATAATAAGAATGATTTTTGGCGTCTTGTTGATGCAGGAGATATTCACCCAATTGGTCACTGTGAAAGAAATGATGGCATGCTGCAGCCACCGTTAGGGTTTCGGATGAATGCCAGTAGTTGGCCCATGTTTTTACTTAAAACTTTAAATGGTGCTGAAATGGCTCCAGCTAAAGTCTTTCAACCTGAACCTCCAACTCCTAAGTCAAATGTGTTTGTTGTTGGACAAAAATTAGAGGCAGTAGATAAGAAAAATCCACAACTCATTTGTTGTGCCACTGTTGGGGCAGTGAAAAATGATCAGATACATGTAACATTTGATGGGTGGAGAGGTGCATTTGATTACTGGTGTAGGTATGATTCAAGAGACATATTTCCAGTTGGTTGGTGTGCTAGGGCTGGGCACCCTTTACAACCTCCTGGTCAGAAAAGTGCTACAACTCCATCAAGGTAATTCATCTTGTCTTTTTTAACCTTTCAACTGCCAGTCTTGTATACATGACATACCAAAAAAGTGCTTAGCACACTACAGTCAGGGTTACATGACAGACTTAAACCTAAATTAACCTTTATTTTGTATTTCTTTTACTAATTATGTTCCTTTACTCATTTTTATGTTTATTACTTAATTGACCCTCTTCATATTTCGTGAATGTTATTCAAAATAATGAAACATTGTCTGTATGAAAAGATAAAAACTATTAAGAATTAATTGTTAGATTGGCACTGAAGACATATCTGGTTTTTGACATGGCGGTTTAAAGGTTAATATAGAAAATGAATTTTAAATGCTTAAAGAGTTGATGCATTAAGGCTGCTTTATTAACATGGTTTTGATTGCTTATTGGAAATGCTAAATAGATTAGAAAAAGATTAAATTAAACTAGCTAATCTTGATTAACTTTGATTAACTTTCTATTCATTTTGATAAACTTTTAATCACAAAATGTTAAAGAAAATGTTGCGGTCTACTGAATGCTGGTGTATGCAAAACACTAATTTTTAAATCATTTTTATAATAACAGCAGTTCAGTGGTTACTTATAAAATAAATGTAAAAATATTTTTTACATAAAAGTTAAATTCTGTGAGATATTTGATTTTCTGTATTGGAGGTAAAGATGTCAGTGTTTGATGGAGCTCTGCTAAGTAGTGTTATTTGGGATATTACAGTATCATATACACCACAGTCTGCTCTGAAATCTATATTCAATTCATTTGATAATTACTTAAAAAAATGTTAGACATTGGTGATGTGATTAGTCATCACAAATCTTGTTTGTTATTACAAACTAATAACAAATACCTTGATTAACTAAAATTCGCGGGTTACTCACGTGAATATACTGAGAAAAGCTCTACTAGTTTCGAACCACAGAGGGGTTATTAGTTATTATAATAACATACATACATACATACATAACTTCACGCCTGTCTCCCATGGGGGTAGGCAGAGACTAAGGAACGCCGAATACTACGATTCTTACATACCTCTTTCGCTTCATTAACAGTCATCAATCTTTTCATGCATGCTAGTTGGTTAAGGGCACTTTTAATTTGGCCCTTCTTTAATATATCGCCAATCTGGTCACTATATGTCCGTCTAGGGCGCCCTCTGGCTATTATAATAACAAGTACCTTGATATATATTTTATATAGTTTGGTAAACATTACAGATTCAAGCTAAGGCCTAGTGGTATGCCTAATCCGGCTTTACCAGAAGGTGGATCTACAGGAGCTGGGAACTCGAATGCTTCTGTAACACCCACACCAGTAGCCACAGTGTGCCTCCGCATCCGCAGCAGTTGTACCGGTGGTAGCAGCTCTTTACCAACTTCTGTATTAGGGACTGGCCCATCTGGAGCTGCTGAAGCTTTGGTCAAGGAATTGCTCAGTGTCCATCCTGACCCTCAAAGGTTGACAAGAGCAATACTCACAGCATCTAGTAGCTATTCTAATATAACAAATGTACAGGTAATATATTTTAGTCTAATATTTTATTTAATGAACTTGTAACTAATATTTTGTTTTTGTAGTTATATTTTTTTGGATTTAAAAATATTTACAACAAAAATATTTTTCAGGTTTCATCAGGAAATAAAAACTATTCAGTGAAAGTCCCATCAGAGTTGACAATAGATGAACTTAAAAATTGGTTGAAAGCTGTTACTAGTGGAGTTGGCAGCTGTATTGGAATGATAGAGATAGACACTGGTGAGGCTGCTGGTCGGCCTTGCACCCTTTGTGGAGAATCTACATCTAATAATAATGTCATAACATCTGGTGTAAAGAGGCCTAATAATGTGAGTATTCTAGTTCATTCATTTTAAAACCTTACGCTTACACATTACACGCTTACTTAAGCTTACATTCAGCTACTTATCTATACTAATATTATAAAGAGGAAAGATTTGTACCTATTTTTGTATGTTTGTCTGTTTGTAATGAATAGGATCAAAAAGTACAGGGCCGATTTAAAAAATTCTTTCACCAATAGAATGCTACATTCTTCCAATTCGACATAGGCCGTGCGAAGCCGGGGCGGACTGCTAGTACTTCATAAAACGATACTACAGTGCGTCATACCCAGCTGATTTATTTATTTATTTATTTATTACAGTCACAACGGTTGATAACAAAACCAATTAAAGTAACTGGACACATTAATAAAATAACGGTGAAATAATAAAACTAGAACAAAACATACACGAACCAGAAGAGTAAAACTTATTTAAAAAATGGTAGCATTCATAAGTTCCTCTCGCAGTACTTCAGGCATTCCGATAAAATAGCTGATACTTTAACAGAGCTGCACATAATATTATGAATCTAATTATGTACAATTTTTGCAATTGTGTAACAAGGTGAAATTATGTCTGGCATAGTTCCAGATTTTGTATCCAATTATCCATGAAGCATGAAAGGTACTCAGTATTTATGGTTTTCTCTGATTTATTATTTCATCTGTCTGTTTCTATCCATGGTTGTAGGAATATTCAACAATATAGCGTGTTACTCCTCAAGCTTGGTCATATCACATTCAGTATTTTGTATGTCTTCTATCAATCCTTTATAGGAGGAGAGTGCAGCAAGCAGTGTAAATGGGTCGGGTGAGTGCTCGAGTGGCAAGTTGGCACGCGTGTCCCCGGAGCGACCCGAGCCAGCTTCCTCTACGACAGGGGCGCCGCCTCCGCCCTCGCCAGCCACGCCGCCCGCCGACTGGTCCGTCGAAGATGTCATCGGGTTTATCGCAGCCGCTGACCCTGCCCTTGCCGCTCATGCCGACTTATTTAGGAAACATGTAAGTGCCAACAATCTTTCTAATTTAAATAAAAATGTCGAGCACCTTCTCAATATTTTCTAAAGTTATACCGAAGTTATAATACGGTTTCTGCCTGGGTGGTTCACTGTAAATAGTAACCTATATCACTTTCAAACCTAACCAACTCTACACAAGTATCATACTATCCAAACACTGCGGCGATGTGAGAGAAAGATGACACATTCGCTATCATATTACCAATGTTGTCCTAATTATTAGAATATCAAATTTTTACTATTTATATTTTGAATTTGTCTTTAAAATGATACAAATAAATAATTAACTGATTCCATTTTTTTGTCTTGTTACAGGAAATAGATGGAAAAGCCCTACTGTTGCTAAATTCTGATATGATGATGAAATACATGGGTTTAAAGTTAGGTCCTGCTTTAAAAATTTGCAATCTTGTATCCAAAATAAAAAATCGCCGGCATTATAGTACCTAAGTTTGTACTATATTGTGTACTAGGTATTCAATATTATTACAATAATTCACTCCTAGAGTTAGAAACTATAAGTTTCTTAGTTTTTTTATTAGTAAGCTTTTTTTGAATTATAACGAGACAAGTAATATCTTCAATTTTTCAATGCTGGAATCTGCTTTATTTTTTTGAATCTCACCAACAATGCGTAGTTGTTTTTAAACCTTATGATTCATGAGAAGTTTCAATTTACGTTATTGTTTCTGTTTTGTTTTCTAAATCAAAGTTGTGATCGAAAGCAATGTATGAGTACCTTTATATGTGTAATTTTAACGATTTTTCGAACTTACATACAATCCATTTCTGACGCCCACTTCATGCTAACGGCTGGGTGTTATGTTGAACTGGTATGGTTCGTAATTCAATTAATCAACCCATGGAAAGGATTTGCCTACCTCCACATAATATTTAATGTATACATATAGATACACACCCAGAAATTTTACTTAAATGACTTGTTAAAGATACCGATATTTAGAACTCTGAGTTCCTGGTACAAATTTGTAGCAGATAAGTTATATGTGTAGATATGACTGATCTACGGATTAAAGATAATTAACGACAATCAGAAAATTATATATTATATTACAAAGAATGTGGTCAATCGTCAAAATGTTATATTAGTGAAGATTTTATTAAATGCAAATTAAATTAATAATAATTAATAAGGATGAGACTTCAGAGCAAAATTCAAATATTGCTTGAATTAGTACCTCTTTAATTACAAACTTTCTTCATTTTCGATTATCTTACTAAAAGCAAAGGTATTTTTAAACTAAAAGTCGTAACATTTATTCTTCATCAAACATACGGCAGCATAATATATTATTTTTTCAATGATTTCTAACTGTAAAGAATTTGCTCTGAAAACCCATTTCCATACTTCACAAGACTTCTGTAATGCGTACGGATTAACAGAAACATCTTAGAGAGCGTTTTCTTAGCTCAATTTTATGAATATGAAGTCAATACTTGGCTTACCAATAATATATATAGCAATATATATAGCAATAAGAAAAAAAATATATAGCAATTTTTTTTTTCTACTAATTGGTGATAATATTTCCTGAATGAATCTAGCGAACGTAGGGACAAAACTTCCTTATATTTCCTGCGGGGTTATTATGACGTCATTAAGTCAGAATGGTTCCATTTAGGGAAAGAAACAGAGCTATACAAGTCGTCTAGCGCGATCGCGTACCACTCTGGCTTTAATATGTCGTAATACGCCACCTGGACTCTAATATAACGAAATATACCCGTATTCAATACAGAAGTACTTATAATACTTATAATAAGTAGTATAAATGTTTGACGAGTTGTTGAAAGTATAGTATAAAAATATAAAACGTGCGTTATTCTCAAGCATTTCTCTTGTAACAAACTTAAATTCATGAAAATGTCTCATGTCGATCATACAGTTCAGTCTCAAACTTGCAGGGCACCTTCTGTCGTATTATAACTATTATTAGTAGTATTGGAGTTAGAAAATAACCTCTAAGTACTGGTATTTTTCTATCTCCCATATTTTGAGTATTATGAAGTCTTTTTCTCAAGTTGCGAGGTTAGACTGTGTTATTATTTTTGTCGCATAATTGTGTTACAGGGAAGGGAGGATTGCCTAAACGTTATCGAAATTGCAATAATAAATTTCTTAAGTTATCTAGTAGCTTGAATTTAATAAGACCATTGTTAAAACTATAATATTTAAGGTATCAACTATAAAGCACAGTCTCCACTCTTGACATTTCTTCAAGTGATTTTTTTTTGTAATATTAATTTAGTCATGTAAATAGGTATATCAATGAGTAAAAATTGCATTTAATGTAGTAAGAGCTCATCTAGCATCTTGCGTATTATTCCATAAATTCGTAAAAATATCTGGCTGTACTATTTAGGTTTTAATTTAATTGTACATAAATATTGGCTAGTCATGCGTCAACATGTTGCCTGAACGCTATAAGTACATAAATTAGTATGGAACTCAAATTCAAAACCATGTACAGAAATTTTATTGTAGATTAGGGTCTTAGTGCCTTTCAGTAAATAACTAGGTGTACTTAAATTGTCCCAATAATTATGTCCTCATTTAGGTAAATTAGCGCTCTATGACACCAACAGAAGCTGTGATTTTATAAGGCGAATTGACTACTCAATGTCCATGAAATCGTCTTTCACAATATTTCTCAATATTTCTCACCAATACTTTTTTATCAACCTGTATCAAAATGTTTATTGAACATTCTTTTCAATCGTACTTTTATTGTTTGTTCCTTAAAAGATTATTAATATAATAAATAATTGTAATTGTAACATTGAAGACATATTTTATTTATAAAGCTATGATGGTATTTAATTTAGGCATTTTCATGCATTATTGTGTTGAAACATTCATCATGTGATATTTCAATGTTATCTGTTAAAAATAATAATAATATTAAAAGATTGATATGTTGCTATGATAATTACGTGATGTATATTTAAGTTTTCACATGACATGAGGTAAATAAGTGAAGTAGTTATATAATTTTTCCTATTTTGTTGATGTAAATATTCTAGTATAGATAATTTTATTTTAAGAGGGAGTGATCCATTGGCGTTGGTCTATCACATACTTACTTATTGAACAATAAATCTTAATTATTTCACTTTAATTTATAGAACATCGTTATCCTAACATCGTTATCCTTGTAAGCAGAGTGGTCTATAGATTTATTTATCTAGTTGCGATTACTTAATATCGTTTCGTCGCGTAACTTAATTTACTCAGTCAGCATCAAGTTAATGACCAAAGTATGTATCTTGGTTCGAATCATATTACAAATCATAACGCCTTATATTCGATTGATGTTTAAACTATTTTACTAAAATAAAAGTAATGTAAGTCTATTTTAAACTATTTCTCATAGTTCCGTCAAATGTTTTGAGTAGAGCATTTAAAGGTACTGCTACACATGCTTATTTTAAGCATGATAGCATGCTACAATTGAGAACTTGCTACTTAGTAGCATGCATGTGGGAATGTTGCTCAAATGGCCTAATAAGCGTGCGATTTTTGAGCATGCTCAATATAACGTTCTTTAATATGCTATTTTAAAGCATGTGTAACACAGTACCATAAGCCTAGGTTCAGATGGCAAGCACTAAAAGCGCATTTTGACAACGCATGTTTTCAACTACAATAGGTACACTACGCTGTACACAAGCTAACTGGCGCAAAACCTAAGGCCTGAATAAAACATAAGTACTTGTACCTTGTATGAGGTAAATGCGCGTTGTCAAAACGCGCGCTTAGCGCTTGCTATCTGAACTTAGCTCAAGTCTTTGGCTTTAGGCGATTACTATTACTGTCAAGTTAACTTTGAAATACTTTAAACGACGTGTTGCTACTTCTCAATTTAGAAATTGCTTGAACCACGAAAACATACATGTTATAAACAATATTGAATATTTTTAAGTATATCGAAACTGAATAAATTATGTTGAGATAGTAAAGACTTATATGCAGTTCGGTAATCCATGTTTTAATGATATATTTTTTTATCAATACATACATAGAATATCATTATGAATAATTAATTGTGTATTATTTTGAAAAGGCAATTGGAAAAATAAACAGGTAGCAATACTGTCAAAACAATGTTCTGTTAGAACGCTTTGTATCAACTTTTTGATCACCACAATCAAGGACGACAAACCAGAATGTGTCCAGTATGCCACGTATCTTATGATAACAAAAACTTAAAATTTCGTACTAACTCTTTATTTCTTTGACATGGCGGTCGAAAAGTTAAAAATAATAAGAGAAAAGATGTCGCAAACGATTACATATATTATTATTTAATTGCCCTAGAAATTTATTATTGTGTAAATAGGTGAATATTTGAACAGATGTGTATAAATTTAATAAAATCGCAAAAGTAAAATCTGGTTTAGTAATACTTGTATTATAGTAACCCTTCTTTCTAAACAATACTACTCTGTCAAGAAAGTACCGAGAGAAGATCAATAATACACAAAATGTTTGTTATGCATCCAAATTTATTTTATCACCTTCAAAGTATGCACCTTTAGAAACGATACACTTGCGCCAACGAATAATCCATTCATCAAAACATTTTTCTAACGCTGATTCCGGAATTGAGTTTAGTTCTCGTCGCGAATTCTCATTATGTCTTCTATCTATAAAAACGGGTGCCACGAAGTGGTAATTTGAGTTTAAGAAAAAGAAAAATGTCAGCAGGTGCCATATCTGGAGAATATGGTGGTTGCTGGATGGTATTTGTTTAGTGTTTGGTCAAAAATTAGTACACAATGATAGCCTGTGTGCGTTACCCAGGCCAGATGTTGTCGAAAATGGTAATTTGAATCTTCTAGATAATTAATTGTGCGGCTTGTTGAACACCGAAGCTTGTTGATTAGTTTGCATGTCAAACTCGTAAACCCACGTCTCGTCACCAGTAACAATGCGTTTCATGAATGTTGGGTCCGAACTGACTGTCCTCATGACTTTCATACGATTGAGTTTTTGGAATAAATTCAGATCTTTTGGGAGCCGAGCAGCAACATGTTTCATACCTAAATGGTTAGTTAAAATGGTACGGATCAACTCGTGAGATACAAAAAGTTCGGCGGCAATCTCTCTCAGAGTTGAATGGGGATTTTCAGTCACTATTTCCTTCACTTTTGCGATGTTAACTTCAGTTGCAGACGTTGACGGTCTACCAGAGCGAGGCAAATCTTCTATCACATCTCGACTGCTTTTGAACGCTTTGATCCACTCATAAGCACGTGTTTTTGATAAAGTCGATTCACCGTAAGTCCTCTGTACCATTTTCAGTGACTCCGAACACGAAATTCCATTGGCGATGCAAAATTTAAGACAAATCCTTTGTTCCATATTTTTGTCCATTATGAAATTCGTAATACACACTATACCTATATGATATTACTAAAACCAGCACTGTATTTAATATAAACCCGGCGAACTCGCGTTTCGCCACCAGATAGCTTCGTTTTATGTAACATTTCGTTTGGTGATTAAAAGATGAAGATACATTTTTTTTGGTTTATATTTTACTAGCTTTTACCCGCGGCTTCGCTCGCGTCACAAAAGGTAAAAGTAGCCTATGTGACATATACCAATACACACAGCGCCATCTATACCAATAATTTCGTTTTCCCTCGAGAATATCAAATATTTCTGGGATAAAAAGTTTATTTAATTGAGACTTCTAACTTTACGTCTGCAAAAATTCAAAGCAATCGGTTTAGTAGTTACGGCGTGAAAGCGGAATAAACAAACAAACAAACTCACTTTCCCATTTATAATATTAGTAAGGATAAACCACTGAGCTCGAGACCTTTCCAACGAATGCAAAACCGTGAAAATCGGTTCGTGCGTTCTGGAGTTATAGCGTCAGGAAGGAAAACTCGACTTATTTTTATATAGTACATAGATGCAACTCAAACTCCGCGCCAAAATGGAAAACAGTTGTGCCAATCTAACAACTACAAAACAAAAATTTTAATTTCGAACCATAAACAAATCATCTATTCCGGATACTTTTTTGACTGAATGTACATAATTAAAATGTCTGTATCTCAAAATTGATGTAGGAAAGGATCTCGTGGAGCTAAGCTACTCCTCAGTGATATGATCGCTAGCCAAAACATTTGTTTACATACTGGATAGATTACAAAAACTGCACTCTTATGCCCTGTGTATGTGAATACACAGGGCATAAGAGTGCTGCACCTAGCTTCACTGACGGACTGACTGACAGACTATTATTTATTTTATAGATATTTGTTGACGTTTCAAAAGTACCAAATTATGGTTTAATTGAAATAAAGACTGACTTTGACTGGAGTTATACCGTGATTTGCTATCCTGGATTTAGAAAAATCCAAGCGAGTAACGAAACTGTATAAGGATAGTACGAGAAATATTTCAGGGTACAGTCTGGGCCCACTGTGGTTCTGTTTCGTTTGAATCCTCTACGTACTCTACTGGAGGCATCAGGGCTGAGCTATCCTTTGCGGAGAAGGGTTCAGACTATATTCCATTTGCTTTGCATGGATGACCTCAAGTTCCAAATAAAAAACAACTGCTGGGAATACAAAAATAATCGGAAAATTTGGTGGTTCGGTCAGAATGGAGTTTGGAGTAGACAAGCGCGCGGACATGCATGTAAACTGAAGAGGAATTGTGGAATCTGAGGGTTTAGAACTTTCAGATTTCACAAAACTGATATCACTCTTTGCGAATGATAAGAGTACTTAGGTATGTCAGAAGGCATTAGGCATTACTGGATCGAATATGTTGGCGACACAAGGGTAACCGAGAAACATGAGAGGACATGGAAACTATCGCATTCCCAATAGTACCTCACTCTTTTTCTCTGGTCCAGCGACCTGCAGCAGCAATGGGGTAGCCGTTTGGATACCGCGACATATAAACCCGTATGTACTAGGATACAATCCGACCTCTGATAGAATAATTTACCTTGAGACCCAACATCCGTTCTTGCACCATGAATATGACAAAATGTAGGTATATGCACCAGCATATACGACAGTTGTTGGTGCAACTGCAGCCGGAAGATGTAATCTCCAGCTGCTGTGAATTGGATGTTACTATCTCCACAATACCTAATCGGGGGATAACGTTGCTGCTCAGAGACTTTAATGCAAAGGTGAATAGTACAGTTGCGGAGTCATATTAGTACCATAGTCGGGAAGTACGGACTGGGAACAGGAATGAAAAAGGTAGATACTCTACAGAGATCTGTATTAGCAGAAAATTTGCTATTGCAAACACATTGGACATTAAAGATAAATGTAAGTGGAATAAATAAATAAATGTTTCCAGCACCTTCTCAGATGTCTAAACACCTTTTTTTTTGAGGGGGGAAAATCATCCAATGACTTCTCCCGCTTGGGTGAGGTCAGACTAACGGAATGTCTGTGTTATGAATTGTCGGAAAAATTTGTTACGTAAGTAAAAAAAAATACTTGTCTAATATTTTAAAATAATCTATCAGACGGACATAAAATAAAAATTAGTCATCTACCCTATTGTAATTCGTAGACAATATTGAACAAAGTATAAATTACCGAGAGATTATGAACCTTCAACCGAAGCCGAAGGTGGTGGCGATTGCCGATTAATCGGCTTTGGCTTCGGCTAAAAATAGAACTTCGGTTTAGTAGGTTTAGTAGGTATAACCGACACTTCCTTATGATCTGTGCTTATTATAGGTACTCCTTGCTTCCCATAAATTTACTATACTCGTTGCTCCTTGCACAAAACCAAAGAGTATAATTATTATTTATAGTGGGGAACACAAAACATTGAAACATACTTAGACCGGTAATGACAGATAATATTGTTTCGATTTCAATATAATTTCGATATAATTATGTAAAATAAATTTTGTTAAACGTAACGGAAAAACGCGTAAATCCTGTTTGAAATGTTTATTTTCTCAAATTTGTATGAGTATATTTGGTAAGTATTTATATAAAAATAACATCTGTCCACATTTCGTTACTAAAAATTAATCTAAACACCAAATTTTTCAGGGGCACAGCCCAAGGAAAAGACAAACCTCAAGATTTAATTCTACAAATCACTGGATCATTTGGCAAATATCAATTATGGCTTTTTGTGCTATTATGTTTAACAAAGATCACCATCGCATTTCATCAACTTGCCATTATATTTCTTGCTCCTCCAACTCAATTTTTTTGCGTATCTACTCAAACCCTGAATGGTTGCCCTTGCGATGACCCAATATATGATACAAGGATATTTCCTAGAACAATAATCACGGAATTCAATTTAATCTGTAAAAAGAAATGGTTAACCAGTTTCTCTCAGTTAGCTTTTCAAGCAGGCACGCTAGTTGGAAGTATGTTTTTTGGAATGGTTGCCGACAAGTAAGATTTTTTGTATCTTGACACAATATAAAAATAGTCACAATTATTATTTTGATGATGTAAAATGGGCAGGCCACGTCATCGCCTATTGAACAAATTATTTGGTATAGAGATGTGCCTGATGACTGTTTATGAGGCGAAAGAGGTATGTAAGAATCGTATTGGCGTTCCATAGTCTCTGCCTCCAGCAAGTGAGACAGGTGTCAGGTTATGTATGTATTTATGTGAAGTGCCTATTCAAGTGGCGACCACGAACTAGAAGACGTGGTATGGACATTTCATTAGACAACCACAGGTGGCGCCCAATAGGGCTGATGCCGATACGGAGCCGCGGAGGACTTAACAGGTTGCCGGGGTTCCAGCTCGAAGTGAAGTAGGAACGGGGTGGTTTTGTGTCATTATGAGTCTGACACTGCCTCTCGCCTCACCCGGGCGGGAGAAGTCAATGGATGATATTCGCTCCTCAAAAATAAAAAGCATGGACGTAATCAGAGTCGTGGGGCGTGGGTGATTGTTTGAGGAAAACGGGAAGGCCTTTGTTTAGCAGTAGAAGTTTTCTCGCCAAATAATAATAATTTTTTTTCTTGGTGTTGGTGTGCCATATTGCCCACACACTTTACTTATTCTTTCTTAGGGCTCTTTCAATTTAGACGTTTTGTGTCGTCCAGCACGACACGGTTTCCAACCAAAAGCCATCAGGTAACAGACCACGCCCTCACTGCATCACCTAAATTCTGGCCTGTTGTTGTTAACACCTAAGGACCGTTGTACACTATTGTAGTAAAAGTTAAATAAAAAATAAAAAAAAATAACCTTTTGTTTCAGATTCGGTAGAAGGATGCCCTTAATAGGGGCTTGTATTCTCCAATTTGTTTGTGCATTTGGTTCAGCCTTTTTACCAACTTTTGAACTGTTTACTTTATTTAGATTTGGGATCGGTATATCAGTAGGCGGAACAATGGTTATTAGTTTTGTAATCTTAATGGAATTCATTGGTCCAGCACATAGAGAGATTCTCTCTGCTTTGTATCAAGCACCTTTCAACGTGGGTTGCATAGTACTGCCATGGGTTGCGTATTACTACAGAGATTTTAAAAATTTACAAATAGCCCTATCGACACCGACTCTCCTTTGTCTTATCTATTTCTATTCTTTACCGGAGACACCGAGGTGGTTAATAGCAAAACACAAAACTGAAAGAGCTATTATAATATTACAACATGTTGCTAAAGTGTAAGTTAAAACAAAGTCTATACAATGTTGGTAGTCTCTGTAGATTGTAGAAATGTAAACTCCACTAATATTATCCACACCATTGTCATTTGTATTTGTAGTGTCTATTAGGTTTTTGGAGATGTTGTGTGCAGTAATTAAAACAAGTTAAAGTCGTGTAGGCGTGGTTGCAGAGCGTGCGCGCCCAGATGTCTCGGAGCGTAGGCGATGTTGAGGGCTCCGAGAATGAGTGGGGAAAGAGAGTTTTACCTTGTGAGCGATGGCTTTTATACCATTCCAGGTATATGTTTCCTACTATAGCCATGCACACACCCAATGAGACATCTGGCCGCCACGAGCGTCCCGAAACACCGTTTATTGTTTATCACAAAAAAATTAAAACATAATTAGTACGAACGAACGCTAGGCCTTAAAAAAAAAATGGGACTCGAGGTGGCGCTCCACAAGTCCGAGGCCATGTAAAAAAATGGCCACGGGAACGCGCCACCTCCGGGTGAGTCCCAATTAACGGCGGGAGGAGTTACCATCGGCGTCGAGACGACGATGAAGTACCTAGGACTCGTCCTCGACAGTCGGTGGAACTTCGTGGAGCATTTCCGACGTTTGGCTCCTAAGTTGGAAAGGACGGGGGCGGCGCTTAAGCGCCTCCTACCCAACCTCGGGGGGCCAAACGCCTCCTGCCGGAGGTTATACGCCGGGGTCGTGCGGTCCATGGCCCTCTACGGCGCCCCTGTGTGGGCGCCGAACCTGATGCGGCGGCCCGCTCGGGCGCTGCT